AGGATATACATGCTAGCAGGCATGGATACTTTTATGCAGCGACACATACATGCGAGCATACGCATAGGCCTGCATAAGCTAGTGCACAAAATAACAAACATACATGCTTTGCGTAGCATGCGTACTCCATTCTATGCTTCCTTGGAGCTCTAAGCCTCCCTTTCTGCCCAGTGACATGCTCTATTTCATTTCGATCAGCTGAATTACAAAGTTAGATAACCATAAAGACAATATATTACCAATACAGACACATGGGAGTTTGAGCCTAAATGGACTGGGCTATACTGAGCTGAGCTGAGCTGAAGGCATAAAGCTTTTAGCAAGTATGAGGAATGTGGCAAGTTGATGGAGGTGTGGGGTGCGGGGGTGCATTAAGAGGGGAAAATGATAGATTAGCAGCAGAGGGAGGGAGGCGGCAATGAAGCAAAGGCACATGCAGAGCTCGGACCATGGAACAGAGACAAGTGAAGTATCTGGGGAATCATGTCCCTTTCTGACTGGCCTACAAGGACTTAAAACTTCTCATCTCTAGGCTCAGAGACCTGTCTCCCCTTCAACCTATCACTATCACTGGCGGAGCATGGTTCTCGCTTCCTCTCTCTTCTTCTGGACGTGTCGCCCAGCCCTTGAAAGCAGGGGAGAAGCAAGCAAAGGTAACCAGATGTCGGGCAAGTTGCCCCGCCAAGAAAGGCAGGCAAGATGTTATCGTGGATGTGGAAAGTGGCTCATTGAAGGGCACAATCGATCGTTTAATCCGACGGAGGGTGGCATAACAACGAAATGCTCCACTCTTCGCGTAATTCAAGAAAGTTTGCTTCGAGTCCAGCAGACTGAGGAAATGCTATTGCTCAATCAGTAAGCATCATTTGAATTTCGCATGAACGTTCTTCGTTCTTCGTTCTTCGTTCTTCCTTCAAACGCCTTCTCACTCTTCACCTTCGAAGGTGCAAGTTCTCATCTTCATCATCATTGGCTCGTCTCACTTACAAATCAGCCATTGCCGGTACTTTGATTAGGATTACACTTTTTCCGCTGTTGCCAGAAAAGTTTCAATTCTGGAAATACACGCATGTTTATACGCCAACGAATTATGGAAGGCTGTATTCCTATCCGAATAGTTTTTGAAGAATCCTTACATTAACTCTTCACTAGTTTCGTGTGAAGGCGTTGGCTGATGTGATTGAACCACTTCAACCCAAAAGTCGAATGGCCGAAGCAGAAACCGGCCTGCCGGCAGGCCTAGGAAATACAGTAAATTCTGGTTAAACATGAAATAGCCTGAGGCCTGAGTACAAGAAAGATAATATTTATCAAATTATCCATTCAACTAGGAAAGGCAATCCGATGCCACGGAGACAACGATCTGAAGCGGGACCTCAGAACCCTTGCATCCCATACAGACTGACGGAAAAGCTCTAGCAGGCAAACTGGTCTTATGACTCTATAATATGCTCGTTTCTAGTGAAGCTTCGAGTATCTTTGAGTTTAGAATACACTTTGTCGTGGGCGTACGCGAGTTTAGGTGGGACAAGGGAGGCTTAATTTGTGGTAAATCACTAGACAGTTGGCCAAAAGGAGTAATGTCTCTTGTCTGAGGCCCAGCCATCAATGGTTAAGCCTTCCTGTCAATCAAAAGCTAGAAATTAGGCTCCTGCATGGCTTGCTTTGGCTAAATCGGTTGCATAAATAAATAAATAAATACTTGCATATATAAATAT